CTTTACTCAGACCACCCCCCCAGACCCTAGCTCTCCATGGATCACCCCTTCCCTGAGCCCACAAATTGCATGGTCTTACCAATAACCAGAAAGTACTCCCCAACTTCCCAGCCCCCAGGTGGGTCCTGCAGGAGTTCCTCAGCTGTCACCAGGGGTTGAGAGCAGGACAGGTGCACGTGTTCAGAAGGCAGACTTCCTGTCAAAGGTGATGAAGGATGTGAGGACTCCTTGGGACAAAGAATAATGGACTCGGCTCAAGTTAGACAGGGACAAGACAAATCACGTGGGAGCAGAACACGGGTGCGAATTTACATATGGGAGGAGTAATTATAAATCTTTGTTATGAATCTACACAGCTAACGGGAGGCGTCATGGCCCCAGCACATGAATCAAGAACACGGAGATGATATCTATTAGGGAAGCATTGTTCCTGACACTGTCGTGGGAATTTTTGTTGTCCTCACTTTGGGGTCTTTAATTAACAGACAAGCGCCAGGGCTGGGCAGATTCCTGTGAAGGGCTTGGAGCTGGAGGGTGGGGAGGCTTATGATCCAAATCCAAGCGATCCTAATGACTGTCACGATCATTATGACACGTCTTTGCTCGCCTGCGATGGTATATGGCGTTGTCGTGGAAACCGCACACTTATTAGTAAGGCGCTTTTTTAAGGTTCCCCGGGTGTTGGCATCCCTTAACCAATGCCCGCCTGCTCTATGATCGTTGCACAGTGGCCTTTGTGGCAGAGACAAAGGGATCAGTACTCCGGAAGACCTGTGATGCTTTTATTCCAGTTCTAGCTCTGCCTTGCTCTCTCTCTCCCTATGAAAAGCTTATTAAAATGATCTTTCTGGGTGCCCTGGTGTGTGGAAGTGTTCTATATTATCACCTGAGTGGTGGCTGCACAGGTGTACGTGTATGTCAAAATCCACTGGGCCACACACTTAAGATAAAGACACTTTGTAGCACATATGTTACAACTTCATGAAGTAATTTTGTTTCTACCAGCAGGCCGTTGTTTACTTGGCAGGTGTGTGCCTTCCACCACTATCAGAAGGCACCACCCTGGAAGAGGGGATGGCCGTGTGTGGCACACACCCTACATGTCAGGTCAGGGGCAGCACAGGCCACCATCCAGTGATTTTTCTACCCACATGACAGATTGGAAAACTGAGATTCAGTGAATGGCAGTGGGTTGTCCAGAGTCATCAGAAATGCAGGATCTCAGTTCAGGTCCTCTGTGACCCCAGCCATGCTCTGTTGACCCTGGGTGGACAGTCCTCTTTGTGATTGAGAGAAAAAGGTCTAGAAATGGAAGCAAAAGCAATAGTATTCTGGAATCCATTGCATACAGTGAGTATTTCCCACACACACACAAAAGATTTTAAGAGAAGTGACAATGGAGTGCTGTGTCTTATGATGAACATATTATTGTTTGTCTTACCTAGTACTTTTTTTTTTTTAAAGAATTGCTTACCTACATTGTAAAGCTGAAGCTGTCACTGCAGTGCAGATGTCTGTAGTCTGTCGGCATCAGAAGGTCTGGCTGTTCTGCAGCCACATTCCCTGTGGCGTGTGCTTTCCAGCTTTCCCTGACCCCTTAGCCCCTCACCTCACAGGAGCATCCACTCCTCACCTACTAGGAACCAAGCTCCCATTTTCCTCCCCACAACCAGCCCCTTCCTGCCCTACTAATTTGCATGGGGTTGACTACATCCCTGGCTCAGTGGTGCCCCTGTGACTCAGTCCTGGCCAATCAGAGCATCACAGTCATCTGTCCATGATGACTGGCCTTGGGTCATCACCCAATAAAAGCCAATGAGGTGCACTGAGGCTTTAACTAGGATTGCTGTGAAAATAGCATGTGGGACTGGAACCTATATGGCGTAGCCTAGAGCTTCTGGTGGCCATCTGAAAAGAGATGGAGCTTTAGAATGAATTCATCACTGAGGAGCAAGGAGCCCCCTGATCAGGAGGTTCTGAGCTCCTCTGTGAGCCCCTTGATCAAACTGTACCTGCAACAAAATCTTGCTGGACTTTTCATTTATGTAAGCCAGCAAATTGTATGGTTTGTCCATTTGTTTAATCCATTTGAGATAGGAGCCATTTATTTTCAAGTGACAGAAAGGTCTTCTCTAGAGAAGCTGCCAGGCTAGCAGACAGAATGATCAGGACCCAATGGATAAAACTAAGAGAAACCTAAATTTCATCCTAACATGGAGATGGAACTTTCCAACACCAAGTCATCAAAGAATAGGAATATGTTGTGAAATCCAACTCTGTGAAAATGTTCAAGCCAGATAAAGTGTATGACAGATGTGTCCATTTTCACCCAAGGTGTGCGGCTGGATAAGGTGACTCCAAGGATGGGCTATATGGTGTGCACTTATAATCCCAGCTACTTGGGAGGTAGAGGTAGGAAGATGTGGTTCAAGGATGGCCCAGGCCAAAAGTGTTAGACTCTATCTAAAAACAAACTAAACCAAAAAGGACTGGGGGCATGGCTCAGGTGGTAGAACTTTGCCTAGCAAGCATGAGGCCCTGAGTTCAAACCCCAGTATGGGCCAGAGAGGATGGGATGAATCCACACCTTAGGTTCCTTCCAGCTTGACTTTGCTATGGATATCAGAATGGGTTGTTCTGCAGAAAGGGCTTTCCCAATACCCTAGGGAGGTTCTTCCCACACACCTGTTATCCTTTTCCTCCACATCCCCAATTCGTTACAGGCATTAATTTGTTATGTATATTTTATTTGTTTCTTCCCCTCTCTCCCACTAAAGTAAGTTCCACACAAGCAGAGACCTTGTCTATTTTGCTTTCCTGTACCTCTAGCACCTAGCAACAGGCCTGCCAGGTACAGTCGGCTTTCAACCAGTATCTTGTTGAGTGAGAGAAATAGTTACCTCCTTGCCCTGTGTTTTCTATGATTCTGCTCAGACAGCCAGGGTCCCAATAGAACCACGAGATCTGCAGCCACCCAGTCACTTCCACACCCACACTGTAAAAGCCTATTTCATTTGTAGCATTCCGTGAATGAGAGGCCATGATATTTCTCCACCTCCCAAGCACCCTTATTAGGAATCTCTCTCTCTCCATCTCTCCCTCTTCTCTCCTTTTCTCTCCTCTCTCCCTCTCTCTTTCTCTCCACCCCCCATTGCTCTCATCCTGATTTTCCAGCACAGGAAATAGCCCCAGGAAGTTGCGGGTTGGGCAGGCTCCCTCTACAGCACCTCTTGCTGCCCTCCCTTCTGTGTTGCTGAATACCTACCATTGCCACCATTCCTTATGACAATGGAGGAAAGGAAACCTTCATTTACTGGGCACCTACTGCGTGATCCTCACTATCATCCTACAAAGCTGACACAATTCATCTCTATTTTACAGAAGAAAGAACTGAGGCCCAGAGAGGCCAGTGACACCCCAGATCACACAGATCCAATTTTCAAATTTAGCACTGTGGCACTCTAAACTTTCTATTCTTTCTGCTATCCCACAGTTCACTTCCTAACACAACTGTAGGTGCGTGTGTGTGTGTGTATGATGAATATATGTGTGGAGATACAGATATTCATTCCCTAGAACTCTTTTGTGCAAATGGTCTTTTCACTCCAGGGACTGATGCTCATGTGCACACACACACACACCAAGTCATCAGCATCTTTTATTTATTGTACTGGAGGAGCAGGAAATTACACAGGTCTATTAAAGACTAAGCAAATTCCAAGTAAACTGGATAAATGGGATTTTTAAAAAGCACAAAAAATAACCCATACATTTCAGAACACCATGAGAGGTATGCACAGAGCATGTTCTGCAAATTATCAGAGAGAGAGAGAGAGCGAGACAGACAGAAAGATGAAACCCAGGCATCAGAAGGTCTTTGCCTCGGTTCTGGGTTATTTGAGTCCAGGAAACTCATTTGGTCTCAGACACTCCATCATGTCCTTCCTCATTCTGGTTCATTTGGAGACATTAAGAGGAAAGAGCCATCATGGGGACTGGGAGGGCCTTTCTGTCCTTCTATAAGCCACTTCTGGATTCCCTGTCCCAATGCCCAGGGCATATGCTGGGCCAGATGGCTCAGACTCCTGGCAGCTCAGGAACATGACTGCGCTTAACCTCATCAACTGCACTCAGCTCCAGCTCATCGAGGGGTAGAAGTGTGATACCGATCAGTTTAATTAGTTTAATGAGGGCTGAGGGAACCGATCCACATTTTGAATTTGTTGCACAGAACAAATTGGTTCACTGGCTCCCTCCTGATCATTCAGCCCTGGGAAGGGGTTCTTTTCTCCTCTGAGAAAGGAACTTTTCACTCCCCTGTTCTTCTGGAAGGAGGTGGGTGCTGTCCAGGGTGCTGACACAAACCTGCTTTCAGGAGCTGGGCTCTTCCAGCATTTCTAAAGCATGACAACTCAGCGTGAGCAGACTGAACATTTAAGCGACTAGAAGCCTAGACAGATTCTCATGTCAGAATTCTGCTCCAATAGAAGGTGATGTTTACGCTTGTCACCTAACATGTAGTTTCAAAGTAGAGTGCCAAGGAGATCCTTTGAGGTTTGAGAATGTGATGTTGGGATTTCTACTTGCGCTATCTCGATTTGGTTCTACTCTACTCTTCTGGCGCGCCTGTACACTGCCTGCATGGAGCAGGCCCACAATCAGTAAAGTCTGGAGGTCTGCAGACACAAACAACAAGTCCCTCTGGATTCCTGGAAGTGAAGGGGTCAAGGGACAGGAGGAGGGACAAAACCCAAAAGCTGCTGGCAGTGGCATTTAGAGGTCTAGGGGTCAAAGCCAAGCACTGAGCCTGTTGGAGGGGGGGCACCTCCACCCTTGCCCATCATGGGCCCCAGACAAATACTGCACTTCCGGGCAGAAGAGAGGGGGCTGGGTTTGGATATTTTATGGCTAGTGCTGGACTGAGCTGGGGACAAGGTATACACAAAAGTGTGAAGGTGTCAGAGGAAGCCCCTGACTCAAATCCATGATTGGGGAGAGTGTTACGCATCAAAAAACTCTTCAGAGTAGGCATTGGGGTCCTCTTGAGACCGAGTCACCACCTTGAACTGGCGCCGGAGGAAACCACCATAGCGCTTCTGGTTGTCCCACTTTAGCTTGGGACGAATGCGCCTCAGGAAGCCCCCATAGCGTTTGTATAGGTCCTCATGGCCTGCCCCATCCCCATCCCCTTCCCCAGCCACTTCTGAGCTCCTCTTGGGGTATTTGCGCAAGAAGCCCCCGTAGCGTTTGACCTGCTCCTTAGGGTCCTCATTGTTGAAGTCAAGTGCACCAGCCTCCATGACATGGTTGTTTGGCAGGGCATCCCCCATTAACTCAGATTCCCTTCCCTCTCCAAGCCCATCAGACAGGCCCCTGAGCCTCTCCTGTGCTGGGGTACCAGGAAGGAATCTGCTTCTCTCCAGCTCCTTCAGGAAGGGCCCCAGGAGCTCAGCCAGCTCACTGTAGCCTTCTTCCAACGCCGCCTTGCCCTGTAAGCCATCCTCACTATGGAGCCCACGAGTAGAGGGGGTGAGAAAAGGCAGAAAGCCCTGGCATCTCTCCCACTCCTCTGAGGGCAACAGTGCATCCTGACATTCCAGGGAGCAAATCTGAAAAAGATCCCAAAGATCACAGCAGTAATGTCACCCTCATCAAGCTATCAACACATACACACTGCCCTGGCCCAGAACCCCTCATTCAATGTCTGAGAAAATCAAAATGAGCCACCTTGACTACCCATTTGGATGTTCCCACAGGCACGTAAAGGTAGGTGACTTTGCACCTGCTTGTGGAACCATTTTCCCAAGGGCACGTGGCTACAGGTGGCAATATCAAAATCAGAAGTAAGATCTTTGCAGAGTGCTCTATGTGACCACCCTTCATCCTCTACAGAGAGAAGTTGGTTCTCCCAACCTTTCCTGGGTGTGAAGAGTGCTGCCTCACTTCATAGACAGGGACTGAGCAGTGCAGAATGGAGTATGAACCCATGTGATGGACACAGGACGTTCATCAAGCCTAGGGGAGGGACAATAGTGTCTACTTCATAGAGCTCTTGGGAGAATTCAATCATAATGACAGTGATGATGGTGACAGTAGGGGACAGTACTGGAACTTGAACCCTGGCCATCCAATGCCATGAGTCTTCATGCTTAACTACACTGCTCTCCCAAGATCCTGTGTGGGCAGCACCTGACACAGCGTGTGCAGCTCAGTAAGCAGGGGCTGCTGGAATTATGTATTAAATACTTTGCATTGTTATCTCACAGATGAGGCTCAGAGGGGAGGGTTCCAGAATCAGGGAGCAAGAAAGGGGCATAGGCAAAGCCTGGATACTGTCCACTGCAGCCTTGCCACCTCCCCAGCATTCTTGCTGTCACAAGACAGGCGTGTGTGGAAGTCTGACTCAGAGTGAAGCCAACAGGTCCAGGCTGAGAGATGCTGAGAGCCAGGAGAGGTGCCAAGGTTCTGAGTTTGTCAACAGCACCCTAGCAGATAAGGGTAGTGGAGACAGCTCTCTCCAGGGGGAGTGACTAGATTTGGGGATGCCATCAGCTGGGGTGAGAACCCTGGAAAGTTAGTATAAAGTGGCTGACGGTGAGGCCAGCACTTTTCAATGGACACCTGTTGCCAGGCATGAGGAAACCTGAGTCTCTGTCCTGGCCTGAGGGAGCTTGTGGTGGTGAGATCTGAAGAGCAGATGGGAGCTGAAAACAGCAGTTCTTGGTGCCTAGCTGTCCACAGGACAGACAACCCCTGCTCAGGTGGGACAAGTACAGGACAGGCACAGCTGCCCTGGCCTGTGAACTCTCCTCTCTGGACTACACACACACATGGACATGGACCTGGCCATGGAGGAGCCTTGCTGGAACCTACCAGGGGGTTGATGGGTTTGGCTGCATCCTGGGTCTTCACTGCGCACAGGGAGCACCGGGACAGGCAGTCTTCTGCAGTGGTGGAGGGGAACATGAGGAGGCAGGCCGCTAGCACCAGCCCCTGCCACGCCATTTTGTCTCTGCTCGTCCTGCAGGGGAAGGAGAAGGACAGGATGGTTAAAATCTGGTCACGTTCTGTGGGGTGTGTCCAGCTGGCAAAGCCATCTCTTCTATTCCTGCCTGAAGCACCAGAAGGCAAGCAATCGCCTTCCCATTCTACAGCAAGGAAATGGAGACTCAGGGAGGTGAAGTGGGAGCCCAAGGCCAAAGATCAAAGAAGGCTTGGCAAGTGCTGAGGGCCTGTGAGGTGCTGCTGGGAGCTTTTCTGTGTTTACACACAGTCTGCATAACAGCTCTTTAAGTTGGGCTGTGTGACTTTCATTTGACAGATGGGAAAGCTGAGGCACAGAAAGACAAACGGATTGATAGTAGCTAGGAAGGACTTGACCTGGGTCTGTCTAACTTCAAATACTACTCTAACAGTGCACCAAGCCAGAAGACACATGGCTATATGCTTTTCTGGCCCTTTGAGCTCCAGTCACCTGCCTTTATCTCCTGCTCTCCAGACTGTTCCCAGGTCAGTTTTCTTCTCTCCCTCCACTCCCCCTCACATGCTAGGCAAGTGTTTTACCACTGAGCTATACCCTCAGCTCCCTTTCTGCTTTGAAAGGTCTCTGGAATCTTCTTTTTCCACTCCAGCCCTACTACCTGGCCTGACTATAGGTCTCCCTTCACCTCCTCTCCATGCTGGCCTCCAGTTCCTTCTCTGATCCCAGTCTAAAATGCCCTTCTTAGCATATCACTTCTGTGATCAGACCCACTGAGTGGAGTCAGGCCTAGCCCTTCTGCCTCAATATTAGGGACATCCTCAGTCCATCCCTGTACCCCAACACCCAGCTCTGGGATTCACACCACATCCAGCTGCTGACAATTCCCTTAATGAATATAACAGGCTCAGTCCCACCCCTGGACGTTTGCACATGCTGTTCCCCCTGCCTGGAACACGCTCTCCTGTTACTTGTGACTTAGGTTCTAGATCTCCATGTTCCTCCTTCCTACCTTCCCAGTAACTTGTGCCTCTTTCATCAAAAACAGTGCACTATTTGGCAATTAGCTGTGTGAGGCCCTGGACTCATGAGGGCAGGAGCCATGTCTTGTCTTCTTTATAACACTGGCTTTGTGTTCCTCAAACAGTCCAAGCTTGCTCCTGCCTCAGGGCCTTTGCACTTTCTGTTCCTCTGTCTGATCTCAGCTTTTCACATAGTTCTCTCTTGCATTAGTGAACTGAGTGTCACACAGTCAGAGAAGCATGTGTTGTTCACTGCATCTAAGGACTTCTCCCTCCATCTCTCCCAACCCTGCTCACAACAGTCGTCATCTTATGTTTTCTGCTTGTTTGATGTTTCTCTCCCGAGGGGACAGACCTTAACTGTCCTACCCCTGCTGGATCCTAGCAACTAAAACCCTGTCTGGCAAACAGTAGACCCTCAGTCAATACATGGCAGATGAGCTGATGCTTCCTAAGAAGTCTGTTAAAAAGTGTCTCTTTTCATAGCCAACTCCTTATGAACCAAATATGAAGACTGAAACCCATTCAAAGGGGCACTATGTGCAGTTCCCCAACATGGAGGAGGAACCGAGACCCAGGGCCCAAGAAGCTCCTGAGAACCGCAATCTGCCTGGCCAGCTGGGGACTCCATGTTCTTCCCAGCCTGGCCTCTAACCAGTGGCCTCCAACTTCAGAGATGGTTGCCTCCATGTCCTGGTTCCAGCAAACCTCCCTGTTGCTCAGGTGTCCAGGGGTTTCAAAGATCCCACACTACAAGCCCCAGAGCCCCACCTGATAGCCCAGAGTGGGCTCTCCTCTCCAAAGCACACAGTAGAACCCACTTAATAATGATCCCAGTCACCATTTGTTGGGTCCCCTACTTCCAGGAAGCCCCTGCATCCATTAGCAGAAGTGAGGTGGGCACTTCTGCTGCAGTGAACTCCCCACGTTATGCCTTGGGTGGCAAAGCTGGGGAGCACCCAAGGACTGCAGTTCTTCCATGAGACCCAGGGAGCTGCAAGCACAGGCACTGGGCTCAGTCTAACCACTGACTCTGAGGGCTGCTCATCAGCCCCACTTTAGAGATTAGAAATGGGTGCTCAGAGAAGCTTGGTAAACCTCCTGAGGTCACGCAGAGACAACAGGTGAGAGCTGTAGCCCACGGGCCAGTCTGTCGCTGGCATAGGGAAGCTCAGAGTAGAAAACTTAGGGCAGTGGCCTTGGGTCCGCTTGGTGTCTCTCTGCTGCCCTTGTGCTTTTCTTATGCTCTGTCAGTGGCTGAGCGGATGAGAGTTCCAGACGAGTGAGCTGCACCATTAGGTGGGGACACAAAGCAGGCGGAATGCGTTTTCTCTGATATCAGTGATGGCTGTGCTGGTTTGTTATAGGGTTAGAGTGAATTAACGCCCTGAGGAGGGGAGCTGGTGTCATCCTGTAACTCCTGGCCACAGGACAGGACACTGATAGGCTGCTAAGGTAAGAGACCCAATTTCGACTTCTCTGGCCTGGGCAAAACTGGCACCAGCATCCTTGGCTTCTAACCATTAACCTTCTGGCAATGATACAACTGATGCATGGTCATTAGGCACCCACAGGGATCCAAGCAGCTCTCCTGGATTAACTCATGTGCACCAGCGACCTGAGGACATTAGTGCCACCATCACGTCCACTTTACAGATGAGAAAACTGACCCCAGCCAACACTCCAGAGCAAAGACATGGCTCTGGAGTGGGATATGCCCAGGTCCCTCATGTACCCAGCTCCAGCCTCCAGTTTCCAGGATCTACATCAGCCTCTCCCTGTGCCTGGAGTGGCCTCCGGTCTTGTCATTCGACATTCTGACTGCGCCTCTGCCCTGAGCCAACCCCCAGGGCACTCCACACCTGGCAGCTCTCCTAAACATTGAACTGACATTTGCTAATGCTCACCACGTGCCAACCTCTGTGCCACATCCTGTATGTATCTCAATGTAAGGGGGTCCTCGTGACAACTGATATTTTGTTATGGATGAGGAAATGGAGGTTCAAAGAGATACACAATCTGTCCAGTACATCCCAGTAAGAACACAGCTCCCACACAGCCTGATCCTGATCCTGGCTTGACCAAGCCACCTGTGATCCCACAACACAGACCCCATGCATCCTCTCCTTAAGCCTCTGTCCACAGGATTCTACTGTCTGGAACACCATCCTCACCCACCCACTCTCTGACCTGGCTAACCCTCACTTGTTCTTTAAAATCCAGCTCCAGCTGCCTCCTCCAAGAAGGATTAGATCTCTCCTTTGAGCTCCCAGAGCCACCTGTGCTGACCTCAGCACATAATTGCCTCTTCCTTTCCCGAACCCACTACCGGAGAGGTCTTTGTAAGTGCAAAGTCCCTGGGCCGTGAGTGTGGTGTGCTTGAGGGTGGCAAGAAGACTAAGGTCAAGGAAGGGGGCTAGGTATAGAAAGTAGCGAGGCAGGCAGAGATCAAATAAGAGGTAGAGTTTAAATTTGTGATGAGATGAGGTTAGCCTGGCTCAAAAGACCAAAAATCGTATGTTCTCCCTCATATGTGGACATTAGATCAAGGGCAAACACAACAAGGGGATTGGACTATGAGCACATGATAAAAGCGAGAGCACACAAGGGAGGGGTGAGGATAGGTAAGACACCTAAAAAACTAGCTAGCATTTGTTGCCCTTAATGCAGAGAAACTAAAGCAGATACCTTAAAGCAACTGAGGCCAATAGGAAAAGGGGACCAGGAACTAGAGAAAAGGTTAGATCAAAAAGAATTAACCTAGAAGGTAACACCCACGCACAGGAAATCAATGTGAGTCAATGCCCTGTATAGCTATCCTTATCTCAACCAGCAAAACCCCTTGTTCCTTCCTATTATTGCTTATACTCTCTCTACAACAAAATTAGAGATAAGGGCAAAATAGTTTCTGCTGGGTATTGAGGGGGGGAGCGGGAGGGGGTGGAGTGGGTGGTAAGGGAGGGGGTGGGGGCAGGGGGAAGAAATGAACCAAGCCTTGTATGCACATATGAATAATAAAAGAAAAATGAAAAAAAATAAAATAAAAAAAAAATAAATTTGTGATGAGAGCACCAAGGAAGTTTGAATAATGGATGGAAGGAAGGAAGGAAGGAAAGAAGGGTCCCAGCACCTCATACAGGGCTAGAATGAGCACAGGAGCTCCATGAGAATTTGTTGAGTGAATAAACAAACAATATTTTTAAGTTGGAAGATTTTTGTACTAAAACAACAAAAAAATCTCAATTTCCAACTTGTATAGAAAAATCCAAAGCCCTGAAGACATTGGGCCTGCATTCTACTATGGCCACAGTCTTGGAGGGGATGCATGCTGTCAGGTCCCCATGGTCCCTGCTGAACACCTGAGAGGCATTTTGCAAGTGCAACTCCTGAATGGCTGACTCCAACAGCTTGGAGAACTGCATGGATGGGAGGGGTACAGGTGGTGAGGAAGGAGAGATGGGGCCCTGATTCCTTCCTGACTCAGCAGCAGGACCACAGTAAAGTCAGTGACCAGGGCTCGGATCCCTGCCCACCACTTCCCACCACTTTGGGGAGATTGCTTGTCCTTGCTCTCCCCCATTTTCCCACTGTAAAATGTGGCTAAGGGCGGTGCCTCAGAGGGCTATGAAGGGATTCACTGATGTGCCATGGATGGAGCATCAACCCGGTGCCTGGCACATCCAGGTGTTTAAATAGTGAGTACAAAGGCTGCAGTCTAGTCTCACTTGGGCTATCAGAGAAGGGACCACAAAAGGCCTGACACATTGTGAGAACCAAAAACATGGCTGGGAGAATGAACTGCTCTGTGTGGAGGGCCTGCTGCATACCAGGCTGGGCTGGATGCCCCATCCATGATCAGATCAACCCTGTAACAGCCACCACCTCTCAGGAGTCTATGAGGCAGGCTGCACATCACCACCTTATGCATATTAGTTCAAATCCTCACTGCAGCCCCAGAGCTGGGTATTTTCATATCCATAGTACAGAAGGTAAGACTGAGGCCA